TTATTATTATTATTATCGTCGTTAAAAAAAAAATTTTAACTCTCGAGTTTAAGAAAATGGCGGTTGTCGGTTAGTTTTTTCAACTCTTTGAATTTTAACAAAAGGTCAAAATGACCTAAAAAAAATTTCTTTTTCTTTTTCTAATTTAAATTTACCATTTTCTTCTAATAAATAATAATAATGATGATAATAAAAGCACACGCGCACGCGCACGTGCACACGCACGCACACAGAGAGAGAGAGAACGACAATTTTAATTGTGATGAGTCCTTAACCTAAAAGTTCCGTTAATATTATTTAAACGCGAGAAAAAGGGAGGGGGGAGGGAGGGGAAAACAAAGGTTTAAGCTAAAATTTTTCTTACCGATAATAATGATAATGAAAATGATAATGATAATAACAAACCGTGAAAGAAGGATTTAATATTGAATATGTAAAAGAGAGAGAGAGAGAGAGAGAAAAGGGAAAAAAAAATTTTTCTTATTATTATTATTATTATTATTATTTAAAACGAATACATTTACAGAACTTTTGTTACTTTGAGAATTTTCCAGGAGAACAAACGAACGAACAAACAAACGAACAAACAAAACAAACGAAAAATTATTTAAAATAAAATCTTTTTCCCACGTAAAAAAAAAAAAATTTTTTTTTTTATTTCGAGGTAAAAACAGTCGAAAATGTTGTCGAAGAAATTCTTCGAGGCCATTTAAATTTTTTTTTTTATATAATATTTATAAATTTTTTTTTCTATTGTATAAATAATGATGATGATAATAATAATAATAATATTTACAAAATTTAAATAAAATCATGAAAAAAAAAAAAGAAATTTATTATTATTATCGATTAAATTTATCGATTTACGGTTGTCGTTGTTGTTTTTTCGGTAAAAAGTTTTTTTTTTAGAATTCGAAAAACGAAAAAAAAAAAACCGCAAAATAATCGATTTCGTTTTTTTTATTTTTTTCTTATTGTTGTTGTTGTTGTTGTTGTTGTTAAGTGAAAGAGAAAAATTATTATTATTATTATTATCATTATTATTATTATTAATAATAATTTTTTTTTAACGACGAGATTAACGATTTACTTAAATGGTCGAATGAAAATCAAATGTTGTTTTTTTTTAAATTTAAATAAACGTTTTTAGAAATCATAGAGTAAAAAAATCCTAGAGTAAAAAGATCATAGAGTAAAAAGATCATGGAGTAATAAAAAAGTCTTTACGGGATTTTAACTTTTACAAAAAGGAAGTAATTTACGTATTCGCGACAACGATTCGCATTATAAAAAAAAAAAAAAAATTTGGCATAAAAATTTTTGCAACTTTTCTCTTTTTTTTTTTTTTATTGTTACGATTTCTTCCTTATTTAAAAGAAAAGAATTTAAATTTTATTATTATTATTATTATTATTACTTAACGGTTAAATAACGAAAGCCAAATTTCCTCCCTCCCTTCCACCCCCCTTTTGGTAACTTTATTACGTATGGTTGTTACAATTATAAAAAAAAAAAAAAAAACAATTAGTGAATTTTTAATTTTAAAATTATTATTATTATCATCATTATTATTATTATTATTATTAATATTATCATCATCATTATCGTTGTTAATAGAATTATGTATAATGAAATGGAGAATTGTGAAATCGTTTAATATTTTTTTTTTTTTTAAATCCAATCACAAGTTTTTTATTACAATATTCGTCTTCTGGCCTTCGATGATTTAAACAAAAGGCAAAATGCCAACTCATGTATACCTCAAATAAATTCAAGGGTTGCCAACATGCCAAGCCCAAAAAAAAAAAAAAAAAAAAAAAAAAAATGATTTCACAAATATTAACTCGTCGTCGTAAACAACTACAACTACAACAACGGTTTTATTATTATTATTATTATTTTCTTTTGTAACTTCCAATACACGTTTGTTTTCCTTTTAAATAATAATTAAACTTAAAAAGGAAAGAATCGTTTTTTTTTTTTTTTTTTTTTTCATTCAAATTCCATCCAACTAAAAAAAAAAATTTTTTTTAATTAATTATTCTGAAAACGATTAAATATTATCATCCATTTTTCGATTCGCCATTTTTTTTTTTTTTTTTTTTTCGGTAAATATTATCGCCAATCGCAAAACTTGCACTAAATACAAAAAATAAACAAATGAAATGTTAATTGAAAAGGTTAATGACCTTTCTTTTCTGCATACTCGCAAAAAAAAAAAAACATTTATTTCAAATGCAAATATTATTGCAAATTATTATTATTATTATTATTTATCACGTGACCGTTTATTTTATTATCACGTACAATGGGGGAGGGGGGGGGGATTATCGGTGATAAATAACGATAAAGAATTTTTTTTTAAAAAAAAAAAAAACATTCAATAAATTAATTAATTATTACTTTATTATTTTCTTTAGAAAAGAAATTTAATAATAATAATAATAATAATAATAAAAACAAAACTTATAATAAATAATATAAATTAATTGTTTGAAAAATTATTATTATTATTATTATTATTATTATTATTAACTCATTATTTAAACCAATATTTTAATAAAATATTATTATTATTATTATTATTATTATTATTATTATTATTATTTATCAACGAACTATTTTAAAATTTTTTTTCTTCTTGGGGGGCAAAGGGGGGGGGGTGAGAGGGGAGAGTGAAATAAAAAATTAAAAAAACATATGTTTGAACGTTGAATTATTATTCATCTTCTTCGAGATTGATGTGATTACCAAATTTTCCATATAATTCAGTTTTTAATGTTGACATGTTTAATTTTAATACTTCTGATAATTCTTCCAATTCTAATATGTCAGCCATTATTTTCTGTTTATTTTTTTCTAAAGCTTTCTGAAAATAATATGAATATATATATAATATTTTTAATTAAGTGAAAAATTTTAACATTAAATATACATATATTGAAAAAAAAAAAAAAAAAAAATTAAACAAACTTTTGTATCTTTCAGAGTCAAACACATGAAAACTTCTCCCATTAATAATAATAATTTTCCATCGCTTTCATCGCAAAGAATTAATTCTTCCATGGCATCTTCGAGATTTTTCAATTCATTCTAAAAATCAAACAAACGGAAATAAATGGTAAGTTTTTTTTTTTAACTACAATAATAACAATCATAATTATTTTTATTTAAATTTAATTGAAAATTAAACAATAAGAAATAAATCAGGGGGGAGAAATGTAGATTTAACATTTCCCAAGTCAATTTATTTATAATAATATTAATAAAAAGTAAAAAAAATATATAAATCATAAGAATTTCGAATACATAATGAACAGAATCTTTTGTATTATTAAGTAATAGTTTTTTGTGTAAATGATCGCAACTTATTGATAATCTCTATTATTATTATTATTATTATGAATAGTCACCTGTTTGGATGTTAGGTTAGCTTTTACATCATCATTTCTAGCATTGCACCATGCGAAATGATTAATTTTTAATTGATCATCATATGATATTAAGGTATCGTAATCCTAAAAAAAAAAAAAAAAAAATTGAATTGGTAATTGAACAATAATAATAATATTTAACCCAGCGTCATTATCTCAAACCCAATAGTAGAAACTTAAAACGTTATCATTCACGCACATTTTTTTTTTAATTAGGTGTGTTTTGTAAACATGAAACAGTAAATTTATAATTTAAAAAAAAAAATGAGTCATTACTTTAAATGACAACCTATTTTAACAAGTAATAATATACAAATTTTAACAACTTGTTTATAATAATATCGAATCTGGTACGTGTAAAACTTGTAAAAAAATTCAAAGATTATTATTATTATTTTTAAAACATTTTTTTTTTTTTTTTTGTAAAGGTTTGATTTGATGAGGTTATGAATTTGGCACATGATAATATTAAGTAAATATGGAGAATTTAAATAACAATTTACACAAATTGTAACATGAAAAAATAACACAAACCGGTTGAAAATTTTTACAAGGCGTTTGAGTTCCGTCTCCCATATTAAATGTTGTTTAAGGGCAAAATAATATTTACATAAAAAGAAACAATCAAATTATTTTTGTTACCCTTAACTCATTGGCACCGTAAAAATGGCCGTTTCATAACGTAACATTCAACGTAAATAAATTTACTAGCAATATTTTTAATTATTGTCTATGGTTTTTTTTTGGTTAATGAAAGAAAAAACCTATTATTTGTTTGATCTTTCCATCGAATAAAAATTGAATAAGTCGTCTTTTAAGAAAAAAAATGATGAAATTAATTTTATAAAAAGAATGTCACCGGCATTAATAAACGGATAATAAATAAGTCATTTAATGTTATTGATGACACTTGAACACGTCTTTAGATCTATTTTATTGCTCCGATGTATTAAATTTTTTTTTTATTGAGTGTCAATGAGAAAACAAAAAGAGAGAGAAAAATTTATTTTTTTAAAAAAATATGATTAAGTGTTATTCGTAATGATATTTTCCCAATAGCCGGAAAATTTTTAAAATGATGGAATGTAAACAAAAATCAAAAAAAAATAATAAAAAACAAAAGATCCGAATATTGTTTTTTTTTATTAATAACATAAAAATTACATGTCAGTGATAAATATAAAGATTAATTCAACGGGGGAAAGTCATTTGACTGTTCAAACAACGTAAGTGAAACGATTCAAATATAGTTACATTAATATTTTAAAAAAAAAAAAAAAAAAAAATGTAGTTTCTTATGACTTGTCTCCTGACGGTCTTGACATCATCATCATCATGAAGCAATACCCTGTAACAAAGTTTTTTTTTTTTTTTTTTTAACGTATAATCGTTAGTCGTTAAATGAAATTCAAAGAGTGAAAAAAAAAAAATTCGGGTTAAAAATATTTTTGCGGTCTTTCTCTCAATGTCATATATACGCATATAAAAAATTAGTGTTTTTAAATATTCATTGTTGGCAATTCGGAGGTAGTACCAACAGAGTTTTGACCGCCATCTTGTTGTCTATCAATCAATATGCATACAAACTTGATTTAGTAGTGAAATGAAACTGTCATTTTCAAAGTCGAAACCGTGACATTCGGAGCCTCGGTAAAGGCGCTTCATTTTTTTAAAAATGAAATATTTTAATAACGATGCAAAATACGAAAAATTAATTAAAAACGAAACAAATGGAAATTATGGAAATAATAAAATTAATTCCACCGAGGAGGTGAGTAAAAAGTAGACAAAATTTTATATATATATATATATGAATAAGTAGGAAAATTTTTTTTATTGCCGGTTTTTTTTTTTTTAAATCGAAACCTTTCTTTGAATTAAATCGATTTTTATTATTAAAAATTAATAATAAACGTTTGCGAGAACTCGTACGTCGTTAAAATTTCTTTTATTTTATAAAATTTTATTTTTTTTATTCAAAATTAATTTAAAATTTATTAATTAAAAATCAAATCCTACAACTTTTATAATTTTTAACGCACATTAAATTAAAATTATCATTTTTGTATTTTATTTTTTCTTACAATTATTCGTTATAAAACTAATTTAATTATCTTTATTTATTTATTTATTTATTTAAATCCATTAAACGTTATAGATAAATATAATAATAATAATAATAATAATGAAATAAAATTCTTAGAATCAGGTAATAATCTTAATATTGCGTTCATTTTATTTAAAAAACGTTGAATTGAAATTTAAAAAATTTATTAAATTTTTTATTTATTATTTTATTTTATTTATTTATTTATTTATTTCCGGTTATAATTACAACATATAAGCAGTACTATAATAATAATAATAATAATAATGATAAAAAATAAAAAGATGAGAAAGTAAATAAATAAATTTTAATTTTCCATTATTATTAACATTATTTGATTTAATTGATTTTGGTGGGGTGGAAGGGGGTAGGGGTGGGGAGGAAATTTGTCAAATAATTTTTGAAAAGGCACCTTAATTATTATTAAATTAATTTAAAAATAAATTATTATTATTTTAAATAATAATAATAATAATAATAAACTTTATTTATAATGATGGAATGAATGGATTTCGAAAGGTTTTCACTCTCTCTCTCTCTCTCTCTCTCTCTCTCTCTCTCTCTCTCGAATAAATTCATAAATTGTAAAAATAAATTTTTGAATTTTTATATAATTTATAATTAATTTTCATGTCAGGTATAGGTATTCAATGTTAAAATTTTATTTATAAATCCTTGTACCTTCTTTGCTAAACTTTCAATTTTTTTTTTTTTGGAAAAACGAATAACTGGAATACGACCAAAAAAAAATAAAAAATAAAAATTATGAAATTTATTATTATTATTATTATTTTTCCTCCTTAATAGATTTATTTAATGTTTGAATTTTGAAAAAAGGAAAAATTTTTTCATTTTAGAGACTTGTAAATAAATAAATTATTATTTACTGTTTAACATCATTTTTGTGATTCATCGATTAATTGGTTTTTTTTTTTTTCATTTTATACATCACAACCTGTTTTCGAGTTTATTCCTTTAATCCATGATTAGTTTGTTGATGATGATGATGATGATGATGATGATGCATAAGATAACCAAAAGTTGATTAATTTCTAGTCAGATGTGATATATAACATTCAATCATAATCATTCAAAATAAAAAAAAAACTAAATTTTTTCCTTCTTTTTCCCCCCCCCCCTCTCTCTCTCTCTCTTCCTCTCTTTTAAACAATTCTACAGAGGAAATATTATGTAACAAATGACAGAATGTTTAATAAATAAATAAAAACGGAAAAAGTGTTTTTGTTTTTTTCTTAACATTACTTAAGAGTAAACAAAATCATTGCATTTTTAATAACAATAATAATAATACTGATAGTAATGATAAAAACAAAAACCTGGTCTCTAGGGGAAAAAGAAATGAAAATTTTTTTGAATTTTATTATTTATTTATTTATTTATTTATTTACAATTTGACGACATGATAAAATTATCCTTCGTTTCAATAATTAATAATTAATTATTATGGATTTATTTTGTTTTTGACAATGACCAAGTTTGATGATGATGAGGAGTCGTTGTTAGGAAGGACGACCCATATATTTCAATGCAAAAAAACCAAAAACTTATCGATTTGTTAAAAAAAATTTATTTCGAATGTTAAGAATCGTTTCTTTTACGTATTATTTACCAATAATGACGATGATAATGACGACAACGACTCTCCATGATGATGATGATGATAATTATAAAAATAATATTTACATTAATTAAATATAAATGGAATCCTAATGAAAATTAACGGTTTTTCTTTTCTTTTGTTTCTGTATAGTGTGTGTCACCTGATTTTGTTAATACGTAAATCGCAATTAATTATTCTCAATTTTTTTTTTACCTTTAACTTTATTGTTATTATTATTATTATTATTATTATTATTATTGTAAGTACAAAGTATTTAAAATTTTTTTAAAAAATGGAAGGGGAAAAAAAATTAATTAACGGAAACGTTTAGAAAATGGTGAGGGAAAATTGGTATGAAATCGAAAGGAAAATTCAAAAAAAAAAAATTATTATTATTATTATTTTGTTTTGTTTTTTTTCTTGGACGATGGTTTTCGATAGATCGATTGATCGATCGGTGCGAAGGTTGAATTAATTAATTAATTAATTTTTTATTATTGTTTTTCTGTCATGAAACTTTCGAGAAAATTCTCTTTAGGAAAATAAAGGAAAAACCAAACGTTTAACGCAAATGTCGTTTTGTGAATTTTCCCTCCCCCCCCCCACTCTCTTTCTCTCTTTCTTTCTTTCTCTCTTTTTCTAGAAATAATCAAATAATATTTTCTAGAAAAAAAAAATAAAAAAAATATTTTTTTCCCCCCCGTCTCGTGTTTACTTTATTTTTCCATTTTTTTTTTTTTTTTATTATTGTTTAACGACTTTTTTTTTTTTTACTTTTTTTCATGACGTATTAATCAGCGAGTCTACGTGTAACGAACCGCGGTTTTTTTTTTTTTTTTTTTTTTTTTTTTCAAAAGAAAATTTTTTTCATGTTGTTTTTGTTTCAGTTAAAAGAAAATATGTGGTTGAACTCTGGAGAATGCAGCCAGATAGATGTACAAGAATGTGCCAGAAGATTACAGGTAGACATTAGGTGAGTGCGAATAATTAAATTAATTAGCACGATTTTAAAAAAAATATATAAATGTGTGTGTGTGTGTGCGTGTGTATCACATTCGTTATAATCGCATTGAATTTTCTTCTGCTTTTTTGCGCAAAATGAAGGGAAATCCCAAAATTGATGATGTTGTTGTGTTGTTTTTAAATTCATGACGTAACGAAAATTTTTCGAATCGTGAGCGTGTGAAAAAAAATCATTTTCATTTTCACGTTTGATGACCTCGTGGTTGTGGTTGTTGTTGTTGTTGTTGTTGTTATGGATGACCAATAAATAATTTCATTTTCCCTTTTGTATCTTCTGTTTCTTAATAACATTTTTATACTCTTTATAAAGAGTGATAGATAGATTTTCATTTAAAAAGGTTTTTTTTTCTTTTAATTTCGATTTTAAATTCCCTCCTCTCCCCCCCCCCCAAAAAAAAAAAAGAAGAATAATGTATACGTATAGGCATATATATTCATTTCGTGGAAATTTTCCTCCCCTCCCCCTCTCTCTCTCTTTTCAAAAGGTTAAAAATTTAAAAAAAAAACCGGTTTATTAATTAATCTTTGATTTCTGTTTTTTTTATGTTTCACGAATTACAACTTTAAAACGTAATATTAAGAAATAATATTATTAATATTAATAATAATAATAATAATAATAATAATAATAATAAATTTATACAAAAAAAAAAAGAAGAAGAAGTATCGAATCGTATCGTCGCAAACTTGTTTTCTCAAAGTTTTCCAAAAGGAAAAATGACATTAATATAATATAAATAATAATAATAATAATGATAATAATAATAATAATAATAATAATTGTATTCGATAAAATTTTTTTCAATGGCGATGATACATTTCACTTTTTTTTTTTTGTTTTTTAATTTCACGAGTTCAAATATTTTGAACTTTTCATTATTTAAAAAAGAGAGAGGGGGAGGGGGAGGGAGAGAAAGAGAGAGAGAGAGAAAAGAATATCATTTACCAATTTTTGCTTCAAGAAAGGATTTCGTAAAGTTTTTTAACTTTTTTTTCACGTATTTAATTATTTTTTTTTTTTTGATTTATTTGCTGTCGTGTAGTCGTGAATAAGTCGGGGGAGGGGAAGGAGGTGGAGAGAGAGAGAGTGAGAGAGCGAGATAGAAAATTATATTTATTTTTTATTTTCTAGGAGGGGTTTGAGTTGGGAAGAAGCTGACCTTAGAAGGAAATTAACGGGTCACAATGAATTCACGGTACTGGAAGAAGAGCCAACATGGAAAAAATACATAGAACAATTTAAAAATCCATTGATAATGCTCCTTTTGGGCTCTGCATTTGTGAGCATATGCATGAAACAATTTGATGATGCCGTGAGCATTACAGTGGTACGTTTTTCCTTTTTAAGAGAGTAAAAGAGAGAGAGAGAGAGAGAGAGAGAGATTAAAATTTAAAGAAAAAAGCTCGCTGATAATGATTTCTTTTGTTTTACGAACGTGAACAAAAAAGAAAATTTTTTTTTTTGTTTTTTTTTCCTGATTTTTCTGATATGGAACCTTTTAATAATTTCAGGCCATAATTATAGTGGTCACGGTAGCTTTTGTTCAGGAATATCGATCTGAAAAATCATTACAAGCACTAACGAAATTAGTCCCACCCACGTGTAATTGGTAAGAATTCGAACGTGTTTTTTTATTATTATTATTTTTTTTTTTTTCCTACTATCACCGGTTGATTTCCTATCGATCGGTCGATCGGTCGGTCAGTCACCCTTGGAAAATGAAAATAAAAAAATAATAATAATAATAATTTTTTGAAATTTCAGTTTGAGAAATGGTCAATTGAAAACATTTTACGCCAAAGACTTAGTACCCGGAGATGTTGTTTATCTCAACGTCGGCGATAGAGTACCCGCCGACATAAGACTTTTCGAATGCGTCGATCTTGCCATTGATGAGAGTAGTTTCACCGGTGAAACAGAGCCTGCGAACAAAATTGTCGGACCCGTACTTAAATCAAACGATCACACGTCGAAGCGTAACATTGCTTTCATGGGAACTTTGGTCAGATGCGGAAACGGAAAGGTAACTAAAATTTTCCCCGTTTTCCGTCCGCCCCCGCCCCCCGCCAATGGGGAAAATAACTTGATTAAATAAAATTTTGTTTGTTTACAATTTTCGACTTGTAATTACTTTCTTATTATTATTATTATTATAACTATTACTATTATTACCGAGTGCAATTAGTTTAAGGTAAATGAGGAGGGGAGGGAAGGGGAAGGGGAGAAAGAGGAGGTACCGATAAACGAATCGACTGAAAAATACTCGAGGGCACAATAAAAAAAAAAAAAAAACAATCAATCACAATCTATTTTAAGATTAATAATACTCATTCGTTATTTATAAATTTTTTTTTAAAACTTGAATATATAAGAATTCAAAACTTTTGATTTTTAATTAACGCCATGATTAATAATGATAATAATAATAATAATAATAATCAATGGGTATGCGTAAATAAAAATAAACCCTGCTAATTTTTTTTTTTTTTTGCATTTCACAGGGTATCGTCGTTAATATCGGAGAAAATTCCGAATTCGGTTCCGTATTTAAAATGATGCAAGCAGAAGAATCTCCGAAAACTCCTTTGCAAAAATCAATGGACACGTTGGGTCAACAACTTTCCTTTTATTCATTTTGCATAATCGGTTTAATAATGTTGTTGGGATGGTTGCAGGGAAAAGCTTTGCTTGACATGTTCACGATAAGCGTAAGGTTGGTTCGTTAAAAAAAAAAAAAAAAAAACGCAAGAATAAAAATTTAGTTATTAATTAAGTACGAAGTCATATTTAAACAAAAACAAATATGTCGTCCTTGCATTATAAAATGCAATTCAATTTAAACGACCTTCGTGCTATAATTATTATTATTATTTCTATTATATAAGTATAAAAAACAATGTTTTGTTTTGTTTGCCTTTTTTTTTTTTTTTTAAAAAAAAAAAAAACAATAGTTTGGCTGTTGCGGCTATTCCAGAAGGTTTACCGATAGTCGTGACGGTAACTTTGGCTTTGGGAGTCATGAGAATGGCAAAAAGAAATGCAATTATAAAAAAATTACCCACGGTTGAAACATTGGGATGCGTCAACGTTATTTGCTCCGATAAAACCGGGACGATAACGAAAAACGAAATGACCGTAACGGTTATTTTAACATCCGATGGACATTTTGCAGAGGTGACGACAACAACAAAAAAAAAAAATAAATAAAATTTTTTTTGAGAAATGATGGACGAACTCGATGGAAATATTAAAATTTTCCCTTTTTTTTTTTTTTTTTAAGGTTTCGGGAGCGGGGTATAATGATAACGGTGAAATACTTATTCACAAATGTGATAGTTTGGAACATGCTAAAGGAGCCATTTACGAATTATTAGAAGTCGGAGTTGTTTGCAATAATGCAATCATTGACAACGAAACGCTGTTGGGTCAACCGACAGAAGGTGCTTTATTAGCGGCAGCTATGAAAGTAAGTCTAAGATTTTCTTTTTCACACGTTCGAAAATTCGATTTTATTAATTTTTTTGTTGTTGTAAATCTCAGCACGGGATGTATGGCGTCGGTGAAAAATATTTAAGATTGCACGAACAACCATTTAATTCGGAGAACAAAATGATGGCTGTTAAAGTTGTGCCTAAGTACTCGGATAATAAAGAGGAAATTTTTTTTGTAAAAGGTGCTCTTGAAAAAATATTACAACAGTGTAAAAAATACAGGACGAGTAACGGTGTCGTACCTTTAAACGTTAAAAAGGAGCAAGATTTTTTGGCGGAAGCCTTCGAAATAGGTCGAAAAGGCCTCAGGGGTAAGAGTTTCCTTTTCTTTTTACATAAAAAAAAAAAAAAAAAAAAAAAATTCATTTTCATTTCGTGTCATTTTCATTTTACGGATTTCAGTGGTTGCTCTCGCTCGTGGGAATTCAATGCAAGATTTAATTTTTCTCGGCATTGTCGGAATCTGTGATCCGCCACGGCCAAAAGTCAGGGAAGCCATAACAACTTTATTAAGCGCTGGCGTAAAAGTTAAATTGGTGACCGGTGACGCTAAAGAGACAGCCACGGCTATAGGTTCGTCAGACGATATAATTTTATGGGTTAAAGAAAGACGTCTCGACGAAAAAAAAAAAAAAAAAAAAAAAAAATTATTTATATTTTGATTTTTCCATTCAGCTCAAATGATCGGAATTGATGAAGTGCACAGTCAGGTTTTATCCGGGGATCACCTCGATTCCATGTCGGAAGCTCAATTGGATCAAATCATAAGCGAAGTCAGCGTTTTTTACAGGGTGACTCCCAAGCACAAACTCTCAATTGTCAAAGTGAGTTCTGTAAAATCCTTTAACAAACGAGGAGAAGAATAAAAAAAATGTTAAAGAAATTATTTTTTGTGTAGTCTTTGCAAAGAAACGGAATAATCGTCGGAATGACGGGAGACGGTGTGAACGATGGCGTGGCTCTTAAAAAAGCCGACATAGGTATAGCGATGGGAAAAACTGGAACGGACGTTTGTAAAGAAGCTGCCGACATGATATTAGTCGAAGACGATTTTCAAATAATCATGTAATTATTATTTATTAATTTAAAAAAAAATTAATTTTCCATCGATGAGAAGAGTTTAAAAATTGGAAAATTGGAAATTTACAGATCAGCAATAGAAGAAGGAAAGGGAATTTTTTACAACATTCGTAATTTTGTTAGATTTCAATTGAGCACAAGCATAGCAGCTTTAAGTTTAATAGCTTTGGCAACACTTATGGGCATTCCAAATCCACTAAACGCAATGCAAATCCTTTGGATTAACATCATCATGGACGGACCTCCTGCTCAAAGGTAGAGAGATTAAGTTTTTTCTTTAAAGTATTACTTTTAAAGAAAATGAGAAAATTTTCAACTAGAAAAAAAAAAAAAATTACAGCTTGGGAGTCGAACCGGTCGATAAGGACGTCGTGAAACAAAAACCTAGAAACGTTAAAGAACCCATGATTACACGTTCCGTTGTTCTTAACGTTCTTCTTTCTGCCTTAATCATTATCGGAGGAACGTTGTGGGTATTCAAAAGAGAGGTAAGAGGTTCTAATCCGATTTGAAATTTTTTTTTTTTTTTTTTTTTTTTTTTAGTTTGTCGAAAGTCGAATTGAACGTTTGTTTTAAAAAAAAAAAAAAAAATGTGTTACAGATGAGTGATAACGTGATAACGAAAAGAGATACCACGATGACGTTTACCTGTTTTGTTTTTTTCGACATGTTCAACGCTTTGAGTTGCAGGTCTCAAACCAAATCAATATTCACAATCGGATTGTTTACAAATAAAATGTTTCTCATGGCCGTGACTGGTTCCGTACTCGGTCAACTCCTCGTTATTTATTTTCATCCGTTACAAATGGTCTTTCAAACGGAAGCTTTAACCGCAAGTGGTAAAATTAATTAATTATTTTCCCCGTCGTCACGTGACATGTGCCCCCCCCCGTCATCCGGGTATTTTATTTTTATTTTTTATTATTTTATGTCGCAGATCTGGGATTTCTTGTCGGTCTCACATCGACAGTATTTTTTATATCGGAAATAAAAAAATTGATCGAACGGACTTTGGAAAGGCGTGCAAACCGTTCGAACAAATCCGAATTGGATTTCGTATGACATACGAGAAAAACGAGAAGTAAAGTTCGAATTGATTGAACAACTTTATTTCTTCTTTGGTGGAAAAAACAAGAAAAAAAAATAATACTATTGGTACTACTGCGAGATACTATCTATCACTGTCTACTGTCTACTGTCTACTCCTGTCTATCAATAATGATGATAACTAACGATGATGATGATGATGATGATGATGATGAGAGGCGTTGATCACTATCTCTTTCTTTTCTCGTCGTCTGTTCTTATCAACTCCGTCTTAAATGGTTATTCTAGTCTTTTAGGTTGTGCCACGTCTCAACTCGATTAGGGGAAAAAAAAAAAATTGATGTGTTGTTATTAAGAAAAAAAAAAAAAATTAGTAATAATAATAATAATGAAACAATAGTATTAATAATACACGAATGAATAAGGAAAAAGGAAAAAGTACTTTTTTGAATTGTTGTCGTCGATGATGGAACAAAGGGAGAAGAAGAAGAAGGAGGAGGAGGAGGAAGAAGAGGAAAAGGAAAAGAAAAAGGAAAGGAGTAAACGAGGAGGAGGAGGAGCTACGGAGAAGAAAAAAGAAAATTTTTTATTTTTAAACCTTTTTTAATTTATTATCACCTGGTAAAAATTATTAGGATCGTGTTTGCGATGACGTTTTACACACATTTGCTACACTTTTTTCCTTTTTTTTTTTTTTTTTGATGGCAAAGTTTAGTCAAAATATTTTCTTAAATTGTTTTTATACACCCGTATATTTATATAAACACACACACGCGGATGCACGTGCGCACGTGGGTTAAAACAAAAATTTAAATTTTATTTTTTATTTTATTTTTTCTTTACGAAAAATAGTGTTTCCGTCTGCCTGTCTGATCGTTTAAATCGTTTTAAAAAATGCTGTCGTCGTTATTAAAAGTCCGTCGCTGTCGTTTTTTTTTTCTTCTTTTTATTATTTATTTATTTATATTTTGTATTAGAAAAGGATAAAGAGAGAAAGAGAAAGAAAGAAAATAAGAGAAGGGATTTTATATTTGTGTAAAAACTTAATAATTCAGTACTTTATGTCTCTTAAGGTACTACTACTACTACTACTATTTGCCTTATCGTAGTTTAATTAAAAAACTTAATTGTTTAAGTGAGGAAATAATAATGATAATAATATTTTTTTTCTTTCTCTCTCCCTTTTTCTCACTTTCTCTCTCTCTCTCTCTCTCTAATTCTCTCAGTTTCTCTCTCTTTGCGTTTTATTTTTCTCTTGCCATATTTATATATATATATTTTTTTTTATTTTCACATTCTTAGAGCAAATAATGAAGAAAAAAAAAAAAGACTTTAATAATAATATTGTTTTCCACCACCACCCCTACCCACTCCCCCTCCCCTATCTTTATAAATTTTTTTTTTTTTTTTTTACAAAAAAAAAAGAACAGTTTTTGTCTCACTAGTAATAAAAAAAAAATGTAGTTAAGAAAAAAAAAAATTTTTATTATGATTTTTTTAAATAGAAAATTGTCAAAACAGTAGTTTATTATCATTATTATTGTTATTATTGTTATTATTATTATTATTATTATTATCATTATCATCATTTTCTTTGTTATTTAATTAATTATCGATCGGTTACATATTTTTTTTTATATTTTTTTGTATTTTTTTTTTTATTCGAATGAAATTTTTTTTTTTTTTTTTTTTTAAATTAAAATAATAAATGATAATAATAATAATAATGATGATGATGATGATGATGATGATGATAAATATAGAAAAAAATGTTAATTAATATTTAAAAAAATTAAATACGGTTCCTAATGTTACAAAAAAAAAAAAATAAAATAAGTAATCTCAATGAATAAAATGTATTAATTAAATAATTAATTATAAGTAGTAAAAATGATGCTTTTTAAGAAAACAAATAAATAAATAAATTTTTTTTTATATACATATATATATATATATATATATATATATATATATAAATAAAAATAATTAAACGAATAAGAAAAATAAATAAATAAATTTTATTAATTAACTTTTTCGTTTTTTTTTTTTTGATTTTTTTACTGTTAAAAATTGTTTTTTTGCTTGATAGCGATTTTGATTATCGTATAGAGCTCGCTCGTTCGTTCGTTCATTCGTTAATTATAATAAATAATAATAATAATAATAATTTTGTGGAAAAAGGAAATGTTATTAATTAACATATCGATTTATTGATTTTTTTTTCGTTTATTGATTTTTTCTTTTATTAGCGTTGGTACATGTGTAATTTTTACATTATTTTTTTATTTATTTATTATTATTATTTATATTGATTTTTCGAAAAACGATGTTTAAAAAAAAATAAAATTATTATTATTATTATTATAATTGTTTTTTTTTTGCACGCCTGAATCACGTTAATAATAATAATAATTAATAATTGATTTGTTTTGTTATTGTTAAATATATATATATTAAGCAACTTATTTATTTAATAAAATTGAAATTTAATGTTTAATAATAATAATAATAATAATAATAAAAAGTGTGTGAAATTTATTTATTTATAATAATAATAATAATAATAATTTTTAATAAATTTAAAATGATTTGATTTACATAAGAAAAGGAAAAATATGATTGATTGGTAATTTTGAAAAGGATTTGAAAATTTGTGGAGTTAAAAAAAGGAAATTTTTGTTTGTTATTTGCCTTTCATTTGTTGTTGCATAATTATTTTGCATTTTAAATCGTGTTGTTTTTTTTTTAAACTACAAATTTGTTTTTTAATTTCTTCTTTTCTCAAATTTATTTCTTCTTTTTCGCAAAACATTCTTTCCGTATCCTTTTTAATTTTATCTTCGATTTTTATTAGGGCTTCTCTTGCTTCTTCTAATTTTTGAGTCAATTCGTTTTGCAATTTTCTTTCTTTCTGTTATTATTATTAAATAAAAAAAAAAAAAATTAATCATACATAAATTATTAATTATTAAATTATTTATCTTTAACTTACGTCGAAATTTTTCTTAGCCGTTTCAATTTCGCATTGCATTTCTTCTTTATATTTATCTGATTTTTCAGATTTTTCTTTACAATCGAGTTTTTCTGATTTTAAACATTTTTCTTTCCATTCTTTAGCAAATTCTTGTTCTCTTTCTTCTACTTCTTTATATGCCGCATAATAATCTTTATATTCTTGTTGAACTTTCTAATTTTATTATAATTTTTGTATTATTATTATTAAGTTTATTATTATTATTATAATAAAAATTGTAAAATTTTTTACCTTTAACGTTATTAATTCTTTTTTTATATCGTCGACGCTTCCACTTCTAAGTTCGTTAATTTTTTTCTCAGCTTCTTTTTCACCTTTTTCAATTATGTAAATTCTTTCGTGGAATAATAATTCGAAAAATCTTTAATAAATAAAAAAAAAATTTTTTTTTATTAATTATTATTAATTTTTTTCTTTTTAGGTTACGTTGAAGTGGGAATATTTGATGTACCTGTCAATAACTTCAGGTGGATAAACCATTTCCAAAGCAGCTTTTGTCGATGCACTCATGGGTTTTTTAGCACATTCAAGCCAAACTTCATCTAATTTTTGACCAGGTATTCTTTCTTCGACATATTGATCATTTTCATATTGATCCAAAACTAAACTTCTACGAAATACCTATTATAAATAATAATAATAATAAGAAAATGTAACAAAAAAGGAAAATTTTTAGCATCGAAAAAAAAATGGATAATAACCTCATTTCTTCTATCTGATACTAAATCTCTTATATCTTTCATTAATATCGTTCTTAATTTTTTAGGATGATTCAAAACTTCCACTTTTTCCGGATCGTTTTTATAATCTTCATATAACATTTCAAACAATGCTTCCAAATCCATGTTGTGAGGATCTTCGCCTAATTCATTCAAAAGTAAATATTTTTTATATTATCAATTATTGGGGGTTGAGAGGAAGAGGTGAAGGGGGTTGGGAGTCATTACCCTGAATCCATTTGTTACAATCTGATATGATTTTATCCATCCATTCTAAAACTTTTTCACGTTCCTCCGGAGATTTTCTCATACAGGTCATTGGAGTCTTGAAAAAATAAATATATATATTTATAGTTATTGATCAAATGTCAAAGGTCAATCAATATATTCTCATATAACTTACCTCTAAAATTTGACAAAATTTTTTAACGAATTGACTGACATTACCCGGTGTACTATCCATTTCGTACTTAACGGTTGAGGTAGAAAGAGCTTTCGAACTGAAATCGAAAATAAAATAATAATAATGATGTTTTTATTGCATTATTCGTAAATTAGTTTTAAAGAATGATATATATATAAGAACCAGCTCGGTTGAGGTTTCCAAAGTTCTTCGCCATCATTGTTTGTAACCGCCATGTAAGCCAATAAACCTTGTGGTAATTTTCTTGTTGCTAAATATGTACGACCGTCTCTACTACTTTCGGAAAAATCACCAGATCCTCCGATTGTTTTATCGATTTGAAAACCTTTTTCTTCAACTTTCTATTTTATTAAATATTCAAATTTTTTAAAATTATTTAAACGAAAAGGAAAATTATGTTTGTTTGTTGTGTACCTTTAAATCGTCAACTTCAAATGGTAGACCAAAAACTGTAAATGCACATGGTAAAGTATCTGGCGGGGGTGATTCAAGAAAAATTCCCTGTAACTTACCACTTTGCATGTAAATTAATAACCTCGAAAGAAATATATTTCTATCACATTTTTTCTTAACCGAATCAAAATTATTACCCACTAAGAAAGTAAGCCATACCTGAAAAGGAAAAATATTTTTTTTTTTTTTTTCCCATCATGTGTTATCACGTGTTTTAAATTAATTAAATAAATAAATATCTTATAATAATTGTGAAAAAAAATACCCCACAAAGTTGTTTTTCAGATCCTTCCCCCATTTTATCATATGATTCTTTAGTAAAATTTAAATAATATAAAAAATCTTTATCTAATTTTTTTTCAAATACACACGAATCTTCTCCCATTTTTATATATATATATATATTTTAATACTGTGTAAAATGTTAATTAATTATCCTTAAAATACCTATTTATAAATGCGATATTGTTATTTACATATACAAAACTTTTGAGATTTTAACGAAATTTAACTTTTTTTTTTCTCTTTTTTTTTTTTTTCTTATTTCTCTTATTATTAAAAAGAAATACAAACAAATAATTTTAAACTTTGATTCTACAAAAAAAGAAAGAAAAAAAATCCGTTAGGTGTCGTGCAATAATAATAATAAAAATCGATTATCTCCTTCCACGAAAAATATCGTTGCCATGGTAACCATTTGTAGATCGCGCTTAAAAAAAAAACAAAGTAGTTTTTTTAGTTTTACCAGTCGCGGTTTTACGTATATCAATAAATATTAATAAAATGTCAGAAATGGATTTAAACTCGCCAAAAATTTATTCTATAAACGAAGAAAAAAAATCAACAATCATTTCTTGGGTAAAATTTATTATTATTTTAATTTTAATTATCTATAAAAATAAAAAGAAAAAAAAAAAAATTGACTTGACGCACTTGTAAATGTGCAAACATATATAAAAACCAAGTAAGTACACAATATTAAAATGTTTCAGAATAATTCCAATACTTTGGAAGAAAATGACGTTCCTCAACATTTATTCATAAGTCCGAATCATAGTTTAAGTGATCCTTGTTCTAGTTCATATTCAAGTAGAACAAAAGAGAATAGAAGAAAAAAATTAATTGATGAAACTAGTTTTATATCAAACGATGCACCAAAAACAAAAGTCACAGTAGTTTCTAAACTTGAAAGTAAAAAAAAATTTTTAAAGTTATTAATTATATTATTGTATAATTTAAGCAAGTTACATATATTTATTTTTTTTTTTTAGGTTTATCCTCTTCAAATCGTTCTCAAGATTACAGTAGTAGTGATACTGAAAATTTATTTTCCACTTCAAAAAAAACATTAAAAAGTTTTGAATCATCTGGGAAAACAAAATCAAGATTTAAAGGAAATAAAATTCACGATTTACAAACTCAAAATTATGATAACAATGAAAAAGAAAAATCAATCGATAGTAAAATTGAAAATTTAAAATTTTTGGGTATACCAAAAAGATATGATAGACGTTCTTCTGCAGGTGGATCTTCGATTGACACAGAATTTAAAAAAAGCGTTACGTCAGCATCAGAATTATCATATAGAGAAAGAATACGTGAGAGATTCAATACCGTTCGGGTTAGTTTATAATTTTTTAAAATTTATTACTCGCCTAAACGTTATAAGATAACAAAAATTTTATTCATTTTTAGGAAAGAGCCGTCGAATCTTTATCGAGACCCCAATCGAGAATTCAATCGACTTTAAAAAACAAAATCAAACACGAAATAGATGATTCTTTAAAACAAGAAGAATATGAATTATCGATAGCGTTAAAACGTCACGAAGAAGTGAGAAAACGTTGGAAAAAAGCTTTCAAAGCTTCACTCGAGGTAAAATTTAATCAATTTATATAATTATTTGTGTTGACACAATTGTTTAATTAATTTTCTTTTTTTTTTAGGAAGCTAAAATAGATGATGAAATAAATTTTTTCACGGAAGAAGAAGAAGAAGAAGAAGAAAATACATTGGAACCAGAAACACCGGAAGAAAAATTAACTCCAGCATCGGAAATTCAAAGTTCAACCGAAGAAACGGAAGAATCAAAAATTTTACCTGCAGAACTTTTAGGTTTACAGGATGATTGGGATTTGGTAGAATACGTCGATCCACAAATGGTCAAATCAAAAAATTTAAAATTATGGAACGAAAAATTATTTTATCCGACAACGAAACCGAGTATTTTTTTTTTTTTAAATAATTAAAAATGTTTTTTTGATTTGATTCGTGCATCTTATAAGAGTTGAATTTATTTTTCAGCATCTTTAGAAAATAAATTAGAACCTGGATTAACTCCTAGATCATTAGAAGAAGAAGGACATTATGTTGAAAAAAAAATTAAAGTTTCAAATAGTTTAAAAAATAAATTAGAACAAAGACTTTTGATGAATCCTGAAGGAAGGTACGAAAAATTTAACCAACACAATTTTTTAGCTACGATAAGTTTGTCGCAAAAAAAAAAAAAAAAAAAAAAAAAATTTTTTTTGTAGGAAATGGTTTGGGAGAGATGGAGAATTAATTTCCAGTAATTGTCCTCTCAAACATTTATCAGTCAGACCGTACCTTGGCGAAGACACGAATCAAACCAGAAATCAATTAATTTGGAAACCGGCCGTTCGTAGCGAATTAACTTCGAAATATAAAACACTTTCGGAAAATACAAATTACGTTTTGGATATTGATGTGAATTCTATTGAATTTAGTCATCATCCATTATTCAGTAGAGAACACGTACTCGTGCAAAGGCTAAAGGAATTATATATAAAATATAGAAAGAGAAAAGAATTAGATTCTTTAAATCGTTTAAACGGAAGATTGAAGGCATTAAGAAGAACAAGAGATAACATTCAAAACATTATAAAAGAAGGAGGAGATGCAGATGATTTAAATCTTGAAAAAAAATTAAACGAGTAAGTTATTTAATTCATTTATAATTTTATACCATTTTTAAAAAAAAATCTTAAATTGCAATAGGTACGTAAACGACATAAAAGAAGTTAGAAATATGCGTTACGCCGAAGGAAAAATAGATAAACAATTAAAAATTAAAATTTTAACGACTTGGAAAGATGTACAAAAATTGAGGGAACAACAAGGATATCAGTGTACAACATTTAAATTGAACGTCGTTAAAAAAATCAATGAAAATATCGGTGAGGAAAAAATCAAATGGAACTCGGAATTAAAACAGGAAATAGATGAAATTGTCAACGAATTAAAAACGGATTATAAAAAGCATTTGAATGAATATAAAAAAAAACACGAAATGTGGTTAAATGACAAACGAGAGAGAGTTTGTATAAACAATTTGTTTTCGGTTATTTTTCGAACAAACAATTTGTTTTTATTTTATACATTATATTTTAGAAGAAGAAAAATTTTAAAAAGATTGAAAAAACGTCGGAAACTGAAAGTGCAAACGGCTCAGAGTCAGAAGACGACGACGACGATGATGATGATGAAGAAATATTTGAAAAAGAACCCAAACCTCCAAAACCTGTCGTCGTGAGCGAGATAAAAGTTAAAACGACGGAAAAATTTAAAGAAAGTTTTCGTCTGCCTGAAGAACCTGAATTAGAGTTTTCAATGAGTAAAGATTTGACGGTAGATTCAACTTCGTATAATAATAAGTAAATAAATAAGTTTCTGTAGATTGAAAAATGGCCGTCGGAAGTTCCCGTCGGAATTATTTTAAGTATATTCGAGAAAAAAAATTTTGTGCAGGGAAGAATTGAGAAGAAATGCCGTTAAACGATGTTGCGTTTATATAAAATTATTTTACAACGATAAAGAAGTTTGCCGATCAAAACCGAGTCCAATAACTCAAAAATTTACAGCAAAAATATGTCAGAGATTTGCAATAAGAATTTTGGAATGGCCAGAAAGTTTAATGATCGAAATACACGAAGAGTCTGGAAGTTTATCAAAAAGTGTTTTAGTTCCTGGAATTTATTTACCTCTTCCAGATTGGTAATTGTCGTTATTTGAAAAATTTTTAGTCAAGGACTTGAATGCATTTAAAATACATCGAAATGAATTTTTTTTTTCTTTTAGTTTTACTACAGTTCAAAATTCAGATGTGGTTAAACACGAATTCAGTAGTGAAATACCGATAAATTATTCTCATTCAGGTGTAGGTTCAGGTAGTGAAATAATTCCTTGTCCGGACGGAAGCGATTTTAATAATTATCCATTGAGATTGTACACTTCAGGTACCGTCGCTTTACGACTCGGTTGGGTCGATGATAATGGTAAAATATTAGGACCGGTTGAAAAATATTGGAACAACGTTAGGTATTTATTCCATCGTTCACGTTATTACAAAAAATCATATAAATAAGGTACAGGTATTTATTTTTAGAAACGAACCGAATTTAAATTTATCCGAAACAATTTTAAGCGGCGGTGGATTCGATATAAAAAAATTAAAAGAATGGGCTGAAAAATCAAAATTAGATCCGAACGATCCATACAATTCAGGTTTTTTTAATTTTTTGGAAACCGCTTCCGATTACGAATGCGAAAAACCAAAACATTTCCGGTTGAATCCTTTACTTAAAGAATTTGATTTTTGCAACGATGATGATATTGAAAATAATTTAAGATTGAAATTACTTAGATTGAGAAATTCATCTGAACCTGAATTTAAAGATTTTAAAATGGTTCCGTTAAATGAAAAAGAAATACATAAGGAAATATTTAAAGTACTAATAAATCTTTTTTTTTCCTTTTAATCGGAATCGATTCTCTTTTTTTTTTAATTTTGAAATTACAACTCATTTAGGACTTTGAAAAAAAAAAAACATGGCAATATATTTTAAACCAAGTTCAACCGTCTGATCCGATTGTCGGTCATAGAGCTTGGGGTAAAAAATATTTAGAACAAGTACAACAAATGCTATTAAAACAATGTAGAATATCAAAGGGTAATAAAAAATACGAGGATATTATTATGGAAGAAAGTGTACCTGATATCGGGTAAATAATAATTATTATTATTAAATTAAACCGTTTTTTTACCACAAAATAACTTCTTAGTAATATTTATTATGCGTAAAATTCTCAATCATACCGAATTATTATTATTATTATTATTATCGATCAGCAAAATATTATTTTCAATTATAAAATGATTATGTGGTTTTAATTACGGCTGAATTAATAATAATAATAAAAATATGATGCGGTTTGATATTTTTTTTATTACAATCAAAGCAAAAATTAATTAACAAAATTTTGCAATTTGTTAAAACGTTTTATTTTAAATAATGTAAATAAAAGGTATAAAAAAAAAAAAAAAAAAAACAAGTAATAAAATAAACGTTTTATAACGTCAAGTTTATCATTAATAATAATTACAGGACACTCGCATTAACATTTATGAAATGGCTTCAACCAAGACGACCTTTACGTCCCACTAGAAAAGAAATAAAAAAAATAATAACACAAAATATATCGAAACAAGATGTTAAAATAAATGTAAATGTTGTGAGAGCTTTCGAAGTACCCGTTCGAAAAGATATAATTAATAAAAGTTTTAACGATAAGGACGTTGAAGGTTTTTCATTGGTTAACGTGAGGCCATTTGTTGAAATATCATTTCAAGGTAGCGTCGCGAGAACTACAGCGGCCGAAGGTGCAAATCCAACATGGAATCAAAATTTACAAATTTTAATAAATAATAAAAAAGAAATTTTTTCCCCGATATCCGGTAAGGGTAAAAAAAAAAAAAAAATCGCTATTAATTTTTCAGAAAGAAAACATGCGATTTATTATTTATATTTTTTTTTTTTTTTCAGGTAATTTCGAATCGGTTAAAGATAATCTTTATCTTCATTTATTCGATGAAATCGTTATTGACTTATTGGAAGATGATAGCGCGAGAGAAACAAACATTCATCAAAGATTGGAAAAGCGATGGTTGGGAAGCATGGAAATCCCTTTTACGACTTTGCAATTGAATTCTCGAATCGAGGGAACATTTAAATTGTACTCCCCACCAATACTTCTCGGGTGAATTTAATTATCGTTAATAAATTAATTAATTAATTAATTAATATTACGATCGCAAGTAAAAAATTTTTATATTTTGATAAAAGATACGAAAGAGAAGCGCATCGATTACATTTTAATTCATCTCCCAACAAAGAAAATGTTCTTCCACAAAGAGATGCAACATTTATTACTTTATTTCTAACCGTTCAACCAGCTTTAAATCCTCCAAAGGTTATCAAGGTAATGAAATTTTTAATAAATCGATGAATTAATCACTCGTTTCACCTATTATTATTATTATTTAAGGAAAAAATGGGATCCAGCGAAATGGTAAATTTAGAAAAACACTTAGAAGAATGGCTCGAAGAAGTTAATATTCTTTTTCCAAATCGTAAAATTAAAACTTTGGTATTGGATATAAGTGGAAAATCAGTTTGCGTTACGAGATTTATCAAGGCGTTACCGCTACCGCCATTAATCGAAGAGGAAGAACCTTTTCCAGAACTCATTGCTAGATTTGTCGCTATGATACCTTTAATTACGGAAAATTTACTTGCTCCCGGTTATTTTGATATTTGGTTAAACGGTGATGTAAGTTTACGGGAGAGGGGGAAACCTATCTTTCAACTTGAAGAGAATTTAAATGTTTTTCCCGCTTTTTTTTTTTTAGCAAGTTTTAAGACTTTTATCTGGAGATTTTGAAGATCATGCAATTTTATTATGTTGTTATTTTTTACAAATGGGATTACAAGCGTACGTTTTACTCGGTTCTGGAATTCCCAACGGTTTTTCAGCATACGTTTTAGTTAAAGAAATCGAAAATAAAACAGTAAAATATTTCGTGTGGGATCCGACCACCGGACAAAAATATGGCGTCGATGATAGTTTTTGTCCTTTGCAAAAAGTTTATTGCGTAATAAACGATGTAAATGTGAGGAGAATTTATTATTTTTTCCAAAGAAACAAATGTCACAGGGCATGCGTTTAAATAAAATAATTTTTTGTCAGATTTGGGCCAACGTTCAAGCTGAAGAAACACCTCGGAGGATGAGATTTGATCTTACCAAAAGAGCTGATTGGTTTCCCTGTTTTGGTAAAAATATTTCACCGCCATCTAATAGCGTTCAACCCGAAACCATCGATTATCGAATTACATCCAAGTATGATATTAATTTTTTTACTTTGTATTTTTTTATTTTACAATTGTTTTTCTTTTTGTAGGCAAGCGGTGGATTTTCTTCAAGATAAAATCGAGAAAAAGTTGAGAGAAAGTTTAATGAAATGGAGAAAAAAACAAAGGACTCAATGGAATCGATATTGTGCTGCAACTTTAAGAAAACTGTTGCCAAATTTAGAGGAATCTATGTGGAACACGGATGATCAAATACCAGATCACTTGCTCGAATTGCAACATATTTTGGCTTCACATAAAGTAAAGCATAAATTTGAATGTTTAGAAATATGCATCATTTGTTAAAATTTTAATTTGTCGTAATTGATTTTTTGCTAAGGTTTGCGGATTTCCCATAAACATGGCATTTACCGACATCGAAGCGGTAATAAAAGCCGTTAAAGCCACGGGAGTTCATTGCATTGAAGTTGAAGAAGTTGAATTTTCATTGGCTGTTTACATTCATCCATATCCAAACAATGTACTTTCCGTTTGGGTTTACGTCGCTTCATTAATAAAAAGACGATGAATTCAAAAAATTGTGCATGAAAATTTTTTTTTTTTTTTTTATAATTAAAAAATTTAAATGCTTAATTAAAACGTGATGTTTTTTTTAATTAAAAAAAAAAAAAAAAAAAAAAAAAAAAAAGAAATTCGCTTGATCGCGCCAGTTTTATCTTACTTAAAAAAAATAAAATTAGTTGAAACATTTCAAAAGTTGGCACTATGTAAACGACGCGCTTGCGCAGTTTTCATTTACTGTTACAAAGGTGATCGGTGAATGGCGTCGTGTAGAAATGTAAATTTGAATTTTTTATCCGATTTAATCCGAATTTTACTTATTTGAAATTTTATCAATTATGGGTAAATTATTAATTTTAATTATAATTTTTATATATTTATTTGAATTTTTAAAATTTTTTTCTCTCTTTATTTAAAAACGTTGATACCGAATTTAAATGAAATATTAACATGAGGCGTTATCTTTTTAAATTTAATTTTTACTACTAAATTCTGTTTTTTTCTCTTTTTTTTCTCTTTATTTTTTTAAATAAATAAAATATTTTCAAAATTTTAATAAGTTTTTAATCGTAGTTACGTAAATTTCACGGTTTTCAATATTTTACTTTCCGGCTACTTGAATAACGTTTATTGTAAATTTGCGTACTTATAATAAATATCTTTCTTGCTGTAAAAATTTAATTTATTTATACATTATTTGTTTTAGAATTATAACAAAAACTGATGTCGGTTAAAATGTATTCTACGACTTGAAGTGAAAAACCATGCATTTGTATAATTTAACACTTCAGAGGGCTACTGGAATTACTCATGCGGTGCATGGTAATTTCAGTGGCAGTAAGATGCAAGAAATTCTTGTATCTAGAGGAAAGTCTCTGGAGTTATTAAGACCAGATCCTAATACAGGCAAAGTACACACATTATTAACTGTAGAAATATTTGGTGTTATAAGAAGTTTAATGTCTTTTCGACTGACTGGTGGAACCAAAGATTATATTGTAGTCGGATCAGATTCTGGAAGAATTGTCATTTTAGAGTATATCCCAGCGAAGAATTTATTTGAGAAAGTTCATCAAGAAACTTTTGGGAAAAGTGGTTGTCGGAGAATTGTACCTGGTCAGTATTTAGCAATTGATCCAAAGGGAAGGGCTGTGATGGTTGGAGCGGTAGAAAAACAAAAATTAGTTTACATTTTAAATAGAGATGCTGAAGCCAGGTTAACAATTTCATCGCCGCTTGAAGCACACAAAAGCAACACACTAGTTTATCACATGGTTGGTGTCGATGTGGGTTTTGAAAATCCCATGTTTGCTTGTCTCGAAATAGATTATGAGGTATAAGTCATTATTACTGCTTTTTTTTTTTTCGCCTCATATTTTTATTTTATCATACTTTATATTTTCATTTTTTATTTTCATAGGAAGCTGATACAGATCCAACAGGGGAAGCGGCAAGTAAAACTCAACAAACTTTAACATTTTATGAACTTGACTTGGGTTTAAATCATGTAGTCAGGAAATATAGCGAACCTCTTGAAGAGCATGCTAATTTTCTCGTTTCCGTTCCCGGAGGAAATGATGGACCGAGTGGAGTTTTAATATGTTCAGAAAATTATTTAACTTACAAAAATTTGGGTGATCAGCATGACATAAGATGTCCTATTCCTAGACGACGGGTAAGCTTAAGCTTTTATTTCAAACAAATAGATTATTAAATTATTTTGAAAATAATTAGTATATCATGTTATTTAATTTTTTATTTTTCTTATTTTTAAGAACGATTTAGACGATCCAGAAAGGGGAATGATTTTTGTATGTTCAGCAACCCATAAAACAAAGTCTGTATTTTTTTTCCTCGCACAGACTGAGCAGGGTGATATATTCAAAATAACATTGGAAACAGATGAAGATATGGTAACGGAAATAAAATTAAAATATTTTGACACAGTACCTGTAGCAACTTCCATGTGTGTTATGAAAACCGGATTCTTGTTTGTAGCCTCAGAATTTGGAAATCAGTATGTAATGATCCATTATTTTTTTCCCTCGTAAATTTCTCAGTGATATTAATCGAAAGAAACTTTTTTTTTTTTTTTGCAGTTATTTGTATCAAATAGCTCATCTTGGTGATGATGATGACGAACCTGAATTCAGTTCTGCCATGCCTTTAGAAGAAGGTGATACCTTTTTCTTTGCGCCTAGAGCTTTAAGAAATTTAGTACAAGTAGATGAAATGGATTCATTGTCTCCCATAATGGCTTGCCAAGTAGCTGACTTGGGTAAGTAAGAATTGAAATTTTTTTTTTTTCTCTCTCTCTCTCTCTCGTTTACAATTATGAATAAACGTTTATAATTTTTTTTTTTTTTTTTTTTATGTTTATAGCTAATGAAGACACGCCTCAGCTGTACATGCTCTGCGGGAGGGGTCCAAGGTCAACATTAAGAGTTTTAAGGCACGGTTTAGAGGTGTCGGAAATGGCCGTATCAGAATTACCCGGTAATCCTAATGCAGTATGGACAGTAAAAAGGCGAGTGGAAGGTATGTGAACTTTTTTGACACGGTTTTAAATTTATTTTTGACAAATTTAATGAGTTTTTCTCTTTTTTTTTTTTTTTCTCTCATGTCCTCAATTCGATTTTTAATTTTTTAAAATTTTTTTTCTCTTTTTTTTTTTTATATATATATATATATAATAAAATAAAAAATGTAACCATCCCTCCCTCCCCTAATTAAAAATTGCACAATTTTCTAATACCATTCTGGTGAATGATACAAAATTCTATCAACACCAGATTGTTTTTATTTCAGGTTTCTTGTTAATCGATCCAGACTGATAAACCATGGGTAAGTATTGAAGAATGGAGACCAAGAATATTGCATAAGTCATCCAACTCCAAAAATCAAGTCTTGTTAATAATATAGTAAATAATAAATTATAAATTTTAATTGTTGGCAATCAGTCAGTCAATTTAACAACCTTTTTAAAATTAAATCGGCCACCATTAAACTTGATCACGTGTTAGGACTTGATTTAGTTATTATAAACTCATTGCCTACCCTATAATATAAAAATAGAGGGAAATTTTTTTTTATTGTAAAAAAAAAAAAAAAAAAAAAAAAAAATGAAAGAAATTTCAATAGGCTTTGTTTTGTAGTGTCTTTAGTTAATTTTTTTTTCAACAAGTATACATTTGCTCAATAGAGTTTTTTTTAATAGAAGAGTGGGGAAAAAGAAAAAAAAAATCAAGTTTCTATTTAAATAATTTTATATTAAATTTTAAATCCGTTTTATTTATTTTATAAAAAAAAAAAAAAAAAAATCCGATCTCATTGTGTCAAGCCGACTGTATTTTAAAAGAATAGTTTTTCATTTATATTTGCAGAAGAATATGATGCTTACATAATCGTATCTTTCGTGAATGCGACATTGGTGCTTTCCATCGGTGAAACCGTGGAGGAAGTAACGGATTCTGGATTTTTAGGAACCACTCCCACATTGTCTTGCTCCGCCCTCGGTGATGACGCTCTCGTACAAGTAAGTTAATTGTAAATTTAAATTTTGCACCGAAGGTATCTCCTGTAACTGTCCCACATACAGATACAGTTCGTTTTAGTGGTGCTACACAAAAGGATGCTAAGCGAATGACGTCGTAGAAAGGCCATATTCTCTCGTCTTTCTCTCATTTGCTTCGAACATTACCATGTGGGGGGGGGGAGGGGAGAGTTTTTTTTTTTTTTTTCCTATTCATATTGATTTATTTTTTAATTGAAATAATTATTGATTCCGTGTTTAAAGGTGTATCCCGATGGAATTCGACATATTCGTGCGGATAAAAGAGTCAACGAGTGGAAAGCTCCGGGGAAAAAAACTATTATGAAATGCGCAGTTAATCAGCGTCAGGTTGTCATCGCTTTAACAGCTGGAGAATTGGTTTATTTCGAAATGGATCCAGTAAGTTTTGATAGTTAAGGCTAAAAATGATCGAGTCGAAATTTGAAGAAATTTCGCGCAACCCTCGAGTTTAAACTTTTTCCCTTGTTTTATACTCAGATTGTTTGTGCGTATATTAAATACAAGCTGCGTCTCACCTTTTGCCGGTTTGAACTCTATTCTGGCAAATGTGAGAAAAGAAGCAGCACAAAAAGTATAATATTAAAGATAAAAAAAATTGTTTTCTTTAAATTTTTTTTTTTTTTTTTTTTTTTTTATAGACTGGTCAATTGAATGAATACACGGAAAGGAAAGCAATGCCTTCGGACGTATCATGCATGGCTCTGGGAAATGTGGTACCCGGAGAACTTCGATCCAGGTTTCTTGCAGTCGGTTTGGCTGACAACACCGTACGAATAATTTCTTTGGATCCGTCGGTAGGTTAAAAATTTTATATTTAGAAGCATCATGAATGGCGTTCGTTTTATGTGATATGATGTTACATTTATCCTAATCCGTGTTTCAGCTGAAAATCTTTGATAACATTATTTGGATACTGATTTTTAAATAAGATGCTATTTTGTTAATAACCAATTTTTTTTTTTTTTTTTTTTGTTTTTAATTAAATTTTTTTCTGTTGTTGTTGTTGGCAGGACTGTCTTTCGCCTTTAAGTATGCAAGCTTTGCCGGCGGCAGCTGAATCGTTATGTATTGTCGAAATGGGTGCCGCTGATAAGAAACCAGACAGCGAAGAAAGTACCGTCACACAATCGAATCTTTACTTAAACGTCGGATTGCAAAATGGTGTCTTGTTACGAACGGTTTTGGATCCTGTCACCGGTGATTTAGCCGATACTCGTACGCGATATTTGGGTTCAAGACCGGTTAAACTTTTTAGAATAAAAATGCAAGGAAGCGAAGCGGTATGTCTTTGATTTCATTTTGAGCATAAAAAAATTGTTCCCGTTGCCTTATAATTGAAATTTTTTTTTTTTTTTTTTTTTTTTTGCATTTTAAAGGTGTTGGCCATGTCCAGCCGATCGTGGCTCAGTTATTATTATCAAAATCGTTTTCATTTGACTCCCTTGTCTTATGAGTCGTTGGAGTACGCTTCTGGTTTTTCCTCGGAACAATGTCCGGAAGGTATCGTCGCCATATCTACAAACACTCTTCGTATTTTAGCTTTGGAAAAATTAGGAGCCGTTTTTAATCAAATTTCGTTTCCTCTCGAGTACACGCCTAGGAAATTTGTCGTTCATCCGGAAACTGGTAAAATGATTTTGCTCGAAACCGAACACAATGCGTACACGGAAGAGACGAAAAAACAAAGAAGGGTTCAAATGGCAGAAGTAAGTTTATGATGGTTTTTTAATACATTATTTAAAAGAAAATAAATTTTTCTATTGCCACGATGATGAATTAAAGACAAGACTAGAGTTTCCGAAAAAAAAAACATGTAGATAAATTTTTACTGATGGCTCAATGAAAAAAAAAGAAAATTTTTAAATGTAACTTATGCAAATTAAAATAACTTAAACTAATAACACCTTTTAAGGAAATGCAAGAAGCTGCCGGAGATGAAGAACAAGAATTGGCAAAAGAAATGGCGGAAGCTTTTCTAAGCGAAGATCTTCCAGAATCAATATTTGGAGCTCCAAAAGCTGGATCTGGCATGTGGGCCTCGATAATAAGAATCATCGATCCGGTTGAGGGACGAACGGATAAAATTGTTCGACTCGAACAAAACGAAGCGGCTCTAAGGTAATAAAAAAAAAAAAAAAAAAAAAAATTTGAAATGCTTAAATTAAGTATATTTATTAATTTCCTTAATATATATATATATAATGATGATTTTCACACGTACGAATCACGATGATTAAATCCTGCAGTGCTGAATATTTTGCGACAATTTTTTTTTTTATAAATTTTTTGCTATTTTTATATTATCATTAATATTTTTAATTTTTGATTCCAGTATCGCTTTGGTGAAATTTAACAATCATCCAGAGTCACTTTTCTTAGTCGTGGGAGTAGTAAAAGAATATCAACTTTCTCCTAGGCAAGTCAGTTTCGGATACCTCTACACGTTCAGGTAAATTATTTACACCTGAGTCAGATGAAGGTTTTTGATATTAAAAAATTTATTACATGATGATTCATTAAGCACATGTTAGACTTATGATACATAATGATAGGAACTTTTCAAAACTGATTCTCTATGCTGTAAAGCAGTTAAGAAATAACGAAAATGTTTTTTAATCGTTGACTAATTCTTACTCTCCCCCTCCTCCTCCTCCTCTCTGATTTTATTTTCAGGATTAACGAAGACGTGACGGATTTGGAACTCGTACACAAGACGACGGTCGATGAAGCACCCGCTGCAGTTTGTCCGTATCATGGCCGTCTACTCGTCGGAGTCGGCCGAATGTTGCGATTGTACGATCTCGGAAAGAAAAAGCTTCTTCGAAAGTGCGAAAATAAGGTACGGACATAAATTTCTTTCTGTTGTTTTTTTGTCGTTTTTGAATTTATTGAAATGTTTTGCAAAATGTATTTCCAGTACATTCCAAATCAAATTGTCAGCATTTGCGCGACCGGTCAAAGGGTTTTTGTGAGCGACGTACAAGAAAGCGTTTACATGGTCAGGTACAAAAGACAAGAAAATCAATTGATTATATTCGCGGATGACACTCATCCTAGATGGATAACTTGCACGACTATTTTGGATTACGACACCGTTGCCACGGCTGATAAGTTTGGAAACATTGCAATCGTAAGTTTAATTGGGGATTTTAATTACTCTATGGAAATTTTTATAACAGGCGATTGAATTTTAATTGTCGTTTTTACTTTCAGATAAGACTTTCGTCCATCATAACCGACGACGTTGACGAAGACCCAACGGGTAACAAAGCTCTGTGGGACCGAGGACTTTTGAATGGGGCATCGCAAAAAGCCGACGTGCTCGCCAATTTTCACGTCGGCGAAACTTGCATGTCCCTGCAGAAAGCGACGCTCATACCTGGAGGATCGGAATCCCTCGTGTACACGTCACTCTCCGGAACGGTCGGAGTTTTGGTACCGTTCACGTCTCGCGAAGACCACGATTTTTTCCAGCATTTGGAAATGCACATGAGAAGCGAACACCCACCACTGTGCGGAAGAGATCATTTGTCTTTTAGATCGTATTATTACCCCGTAAAGGTAACTCATTTCAATCTTGTAAATTATTAAGGATAAGAAAAAAAGAAACAAAGTCTGTTTAAACTCCTTTTTATTTTTGCAGAACGTCATAGACGGGGATTTGTGTGAACAGTACAATTCGATTGAACCCGCCAAACAGAAGAGCATCGCCGAAGATTTGGATCGGAACCCGTCGGACGTGTCGAAAAAACTGGAAGACATTCGAACGCGCTACGCATTTTAAGGAGGAATTCACATACGAACGGATTCAGGTACGACACCGCACTCGTCACATCAACGCAGAAGTCACCCACTTCCACCGGTACACGTCACGGGCTAAATGAATGATGACCTACTTAATGGAAGACATTTGAAACCTGAGAATGTGAGGATGAAATGAAACTGGAGGACTGATTTTAGCCCGTGAAGACATCCACAAGCGGATCCCTTACGGGTCCGACGTCGATTCCCGTTAGTTTCCTCATGGCTCCTTTCATTCCGCTCACCCAAGTACCTAGAAGTAGAGAGTTCACCTGTAGGCCCCTAATGTACTTGTCCTATCCCACGCCGCGTGCGAGTGTAGTAGGGAGGGAGGGGGAGAGTCGTCGCTTACTGTGCCTGGTGATCTTTTGTATTTCCCCGTTGAGCCTCTTCTGTTCGGCCGCCGCCATCTTGATGTCTCCCTCTTGATAGTACCTTGAACAAACGTTGAGTCGGTCAGTTTATTTTCCCCTTTTCTTTTTCTTTTAATTTCGGGGGTTGTACGATTTTACCTTAAGATTTTATTATTGAGTTCCGGAAACATGTTGAGAGTCGTTCCAATGGCCGAATCGATGCCTTGCAAAAAAGCTGGTAGCAAAAGTGAATCGCATCCCAAAAACACAAGTCCTCGATCTCCTTCGGCATTTGTCGTGCAGGCCGCGTTCGCCTTTACCAAGTCGTTGTCGGTAAACTTGATTCCAACCAAAGTGGGAACTTCTCGTCTCCTCTTCATCAGCTCCACGACGTCAACTAAAACGAAAAAAAAATAAATTAAATTTCAGGTTTCGAATCATTCAGTGCAACAAGTCTACGCTCCTGCTGCTGCTGTCGAGCACACGTCAAAAGAGAAAAGATAAACGAACAATTTTCATCAATTCAAAGTCGTGGATGAATGTTAGTGCACGTGTGTCATGAATTTAATATTTTTTTTTTTTTTTTCTCTTTTATGTAATGATGATGATGATGATGATGTAAATGATTTTTTGTCAGAAATAATTATTATTATTAATTACATTTAAAAAAATGTTTTTTTTCTCTATCTCCTATTCTAAATTTTGTTCCTATCTCCTCTCTCATGAAATTGTGTCGACAGCAAAAAGAAAGAAGGAAAAAAAGAAGAAGAAAAACTTACCGTCAATTCCTGTGAAACCGGGTATGTGATAGTAGAGCAAAGGAGTCGATGGTGCCGATGCCGAAACTATTTTCAAATAATGTATGAGATCGTTGACGGTTTTCGGTCTGAAGAAAAGATCAGGCAAACATAAAATGGCATCGACGTTTTTATCTTGAGCGTGTTTGGCTAACATTTTGACATCTTTCATATTCGTACCTCCTATTTGAACCATGAGGGTTGTACTGTATCGACCGCAAGCTTTGATCCAACAATTTAAAACTTGAATTCTTTCATCCGTCGTCATCGATACTCCTTCTCCTGTCGTTCCGTTAACTGTAAAATCGACATACAAACACGTGTATTAGTAAAGAATACATAAAAGAATCGTTTAAATTTAAAAAAAAAAAAAAATTTTCAAATTTTTATAATTAAATTTACCTAAAATTCCTTTTATTCCATTCGAGTGCAAATATTCGGCATACTTTGGTATGATGTCGAGTTTTAAATTCCTAATGAAAAGAAAAAAAAAAAAAAAAATTTTTTTTTTTTAAATTCAAATAAAATATGACGATAATATTTGTTATAAAATGAAAAAATAATTTTTCTTTTTGATAACCTTTGACCCCCTGTTGAAAACTAAACAAGTTCTCTCACGAGGAAGACATAAGGTTTCTTATCACTTATTATTGTTTATTAAAAAAAAAAACATACCTGTTATCGTCAAAGGGTGTGAAAACAGGTGCCATAAATCCACGAAATTTAAATTCCATTATTATTATTATTATTATTTCAATAAAATTCTTGACCTTGAAGATTTAATAGATGAAAAATTAATCCGGATTGATTGGAAGACTAAACTAAAAAGAAACAAAAAAAAAAAAAAAAAAATTATCACATATTACTAAATACACTTTATTCAATTATAAATTTACAAAAAAAAATTTTTTTTTTATTTTTCTTTATTTTAATTTTTTTAATCTTTAATTTTTAAACTACGATTTATTTCTATATATATATATTTCGAAAATTAAATTCGATTCTTAAAATAAAATAATAAATAAAAAGTAATAATTCATTAATTATAAATAAAATAAAATAAAATAAAATAAATAAAAACTCACGAGTGATTCACATGTTACTCCTAACGCCTCACATTTGAAACTGAGGAAAAAATGTCGTTCGTCGCGTCGTGACGTCATAGAAATCGTTGCAGTGTGACCAACTCATTTTTCCTCCACGTTGTTTTTAATAAACAAATAGTCACGTGATTGTTTGTTTTTATTTTACTCTATGGTAAATCTCTCTCATGAAGTTTTCATTATATTTATTTATATATATATTTAACGGTCACATTGGTGAATTGAATTTCTTTTTTTTTAAATATTAATTCGTTTGATTAATTAATTAATTAATTAATTAATTTAATTAAAAGAAAGGAAAAGATAATTAATAAAGGAATATGTGGAAATAAAATAAACAAATTTTTATCATAATATAACAAGAATTTTCTGTATTAAACAAACTTTTTTTTTTTTTTTTTTTTTAGCCAAAAAAAAAAAATGAGAGAAAAAAAAATTTCGTCTATAATTTAACCGTATTTTCATCAAATATAATTTAAGTTTATTATTATTATTATTATTATCATTATTAATTATTATTATTACACTATTCACATTTTTCATTAATAATTTATTTATTTACTTAATTTTTTTTTTTTTTTAAATAATATTAAAATTATTATTATTATTATTATTCATTCATCATCATTACACGTAATTAACTGCATCACCAATCATTATTATATATTAACCCTTACCCTCCCCCTATCCCACCAACCCCCCCCAACCCTTCGTGTTTTTTACACGATGTATAAAAAAAGAAAAATAATTTTAAATAACGTGGCATTAAATAATTTGTTAAAGTAGAGACGATTTTCTTGACGCCACGTTTCGAACAAACGAGAAAAAAAAAAAAAAAAAAATTAAATTTATTTAAATGACGGTTTGCCAAAAAACATAAAAAAAAAAAAATAGTAATAATAATAATAACGATAATGATAATAATAATAATAATAATTTATATCGAGGAATGTTTTTTTTTAAAATTGTTTTCTTCACTCTTTTGCCATTTTATATACAACTAAATAATAATAATAATAATCGTAACAATTTATTATTATTATTATTACGACATGTACCTGTTTGTTGATTTTATTTTTCTAATTAATAATAATGATAATAATTTTTTATTTAAATTTTTAAAAAAAATTTTGTAAATTATTTCGCTTGTACTCGGGCACATACAAAATTGTTGCAGCATTAATGTTTGTTTGTTTGTTTATTTTTTTTTCTAGTGCCATTAATTAATAATTATCATTATTATTATCATTATTATTTTATTACGTAATTAACAAATAATTTAGAGAGCGAATTTTTTTTTAAACATGGCACGCAAATTTACCAAAAAAAAAAGAAAAATTAATTTTAATTAAATAAAATTGGCAAAATAAGAAAAAGAAATGGCAAAAGAGCAGAAGATAAATAATTTAATAATGATCGTAATAATGATGATGATTATAATAATAATAATAAATTTTTCTTTTCCCCTTTCCAACCGAATCATACGAGTCTCACCCACGGAAGGGGGAGGGGCGAGAAGGGGGAAAGGGGGGAACAAAAAAAATTTATTTATATATACACACAATCATTATTATTATTACTATTTCATTCAATCATTCATTCATTCATTCGTTCGTATAATTAATCTAAAACGCCTTTTAATCGAGATTTTTTTTTTTGTTAAATTTTTGGTGCAAAGCTTTTATTTAAACTCTCATTAGAAAAAAAAAAAAAAAAAAAAATTTCTCTATAATTAATTTAATTAATTTAATTTAATTTAATTTAACTATTTAAATTATTATTATTATCATCATCATCATCGTCGTTTACTTATTTTTAATGTAACATTATACATTTAAACTAATTAACAAATATTATTTTATAATAATAATAATAATAAGAAATAAATTAAACATATATATAACATTTACAATTTTTTTTTATCAACTACTACTACTACTACTACCACGTATCGTTTATCATCATCATCGCCGCCGCCATCTTTGTTTTTAATTTTTTTTATTAATATGATGATGATAATATAAACGATAAAAAAAATATATTTACATAATTTATTTATTAATCAATCGGATTCGATTTAGAAACGAAATGAAAAACGTTTAACGGTTTTCTCTCTCTTTCTCTCTCACTCTCACTCTCACCCACTCACTCTCTCTCTCTCTCACACACACACACCCTCTTTCATTCGATTGTTTTGGTTTTCGTACTATCCGGAATACAGACAATCAATCAACCAAACACACACACACACGCAGACCGTGACGTCATTCATTTGTTTTGAGCCTGAATGAAATATCAAACAGGCACGAATTTGTTAAACAAAAAAGGGGAGGAAAAAGGGGGGAAGGGGGGAAGAGGAGAAAGAAACCATTCGTTTGTTTGTTTGTTTTTGCATCGAAACCCAATCACGATTTCCACGCACGCACTCACGCACTCACGATGGGAAATCGGTGATGGTGGTGGTGGTGGCGACGGCGATGGCGGTGCAAGTAGTAGTAATAATAATAATGATGATGATAGAATTTATCTAATAAAAGCAAGCAGACGTCATTTTATGTAATAACAACAAAGCAAAAACAAATTATACAAACATATTTATACAATTAACATTATGTATATATATAATTACACGCATACACGCACACACGCACTCACGCACGTCGGTCGCTCGTTTTTTTTTTTTTTTTACTTTCCCCTTTCTTCTCATACGGGGGGGGAATGATAATGATTATTAATAATAATAATAAATTTTGGTCGTTAAAAAAATAAGTACTTTTCAAAATCATTATTACACTACACACACATAAAAAATAAATAAATAAATCGTTTCGTAATCATAACAAATAATTAATTAATTCATAATAATAATAATAATAATAATAATAATAATAATAATAATAATAATAAAATACATAAACGCAAAATACATAAACGAAACATAATCAAGTTTTTTTTTAATAAATTAATGCGTCCACTTTTTTAAAAAAAAAGAACGGCCGTGTGCACATACAAAAAATAATAATAATGATAATGATAATGATAATGATAACAACAACAATAACAACAATAACATGATAAACGAAAAAAATCAAAACACACAAAACACAACTAAAGAGTGGTGGTGGTGGTGGTGAAGGAAGAGGAGGGGGAGGAGCAGGAGGAGAGAAACGTACATACAAACATACATACATAGATACATACATACATACATAAATATTTATATATATATAAATTAATTTATCTAAATGCAAAATTACAATTATTTAAAAAAAAAATAACGTCTGCTGCTTGAGAGTTAGGGATAGGGGAATGGGAGAGAATTAAGGGAGAGGGAAGTAGGGAGGAGAGGAGAGGGGAAAAAACAAAACGCGCGCGTTTATTCATATAATTGCCTAAGTGTGTATTCATATATATATATATTAATACACTTGAGAATTAATCGGCCGAGTTGATTTTTTTTTTTTCCCGTTTTTTCCCACCTTCCTTTTCGTACGAAATTTTTAATATTCTTCGGGAAGAAAGTGGGAAAGTGTAGGGAGAGATAAAGAGAGAACTCAAAAAAAAAAAAAAAAAATCAAATCGGCCAGAAAAATTCCCCGGGAAAAAAAAAGAAGAAAATCCGACGCGCGCGTCGTTCGTCGTCGTTTAATTAATTAACAACCCCGCGTGTTTACACATGGAGAGCAACCGGTACACATTTTTTTTTAAATTTACACACGCAAGCACACGCACACCCACACGTATATATTAAATAAATAATAATAATAATAATTACATTGTACTAAAAAAGAAAAAAATTAATAATAATGATAATAAAAATTGATAACGCCTAATAACTTTTTTCTGTTATGTCCTGCACTCTCCGACTCTGATCGGATTTTTGTCACAGCCGTAAGTGTGAACTCTCATTTCTTCAATGGCTTTGCACCATTCCAACGCGTATCCCTCGGGATCTTCCAAGTAATACGTTCGCGTCGGAGTGTGAACGAAAAATATCTTAAAGTTTTTAGGTTCGACTCTCAATTCCGGACTCCAGGGTATTTCTCCTTTGAGAACCATGCTCACGGGATCCGCGTAGTACAGGTGAGGACCCAAAGTGAGCATGAGCATTCGTCGACGAGCGAACAAACCCTTTCTCTTGTCTACCAAACCTTGTTTGAGTATGAGGTTACCGTCGCACAGTGAATGCCACCTTTCCGACGTGACTTTTTGCTCTGCCAGTCTTGATTTGATTTCTTCCGGTGTTAAATGTTCGAGACCTAGACCGGATTTTTTCCTAGCTTTTTCCACCGGTGGTTCCGGGGATGATGTTTTCGGCGGTGACGTGCCTTGAAGATCCAATCCTAACAGTCTCGTTATTTGACGATCGTCCAATCCGGGCTCGAAATGGTCAGGTACCTAAAATAATAATAATAATAATAATAATAACGATTTACTATTATAAAATTCATCTCATCCCGTTTGTCGTTTGCCTTCGGTTCGACGTGACCCAAGCCAACAACAAAAAACAAACAAACAAACAAAAAAGACATTTCATAACTCATGCGGGACATTTGTTATCATCAATGAAAACACGAATAATGCGATAAATTTTTTTTATAAAAACCATCGTCCATCCATCGCCGTTATTTATATGATGGCGGTGGCGGCGGTGGTTTTATTGGGTCAATATCGGGGTTCTCTATGCGGTCAATAATAATAATAATAATAATAATAATAACTCAAACAATTAGCAGCACGCACGCACCACTTTATCGTATAAATAATAAATTTTTTTTTTTAAAAATGATTTACGACATCACAATCGGAACGTCACAAAAAAAAATAAACCATAATCATTATTATCAATCGTCATACTCACTCTATATTGACTACGTAATTCTCCGTGGTCAGACGTTCCAGGAAGATAAGGATAGATTTGCGGAGGAGTCTGACAGTATAAACTCTCGAATTCCATTCCGTTAAAAAACTGATGAGATCTTATTGATGAATACGTGTCGCCATCGTGAGCTCCGAGTCTTTTCGACGGATCCACGACCAACAATTTTTGTACCAAGTCTTTCGCGCACGGACAAAAACCGTCTGGAAATTCGTAGTTGAGATTTTTAATTTTTTTAAATATTAAATATTCACTATTCGAGCGAAAGGGGGGCAAACCCGCGATCATTTGATATATAATGGCTCCGAAAGCCCACAAATCCGAACTCCGCGAACACTCGGAACTGTCCGTCAATAGTTCTGGAGATATGTAATGAGCGGTACCCACGAAACTGTTTCGCCTTTGCTTCGTCGGCGAATCCTCGTCCGAACTTTCTTCTTTCTTAAGTATTTTAGCAGATCCGAAATCCGTGATTTGTATGTGCATTTTATCGTCCAACAATATGTTTTCAGGTTTCAAATCCCGGTGTATTATTCCCAAACTGTGCATGTGTTCGAGAGCGTGAAGGATTTCGGCCGCGTAAAATTTCGTGCAGGGTATGTCGAAGCTACCGACTTTGTTTATGTGTGAAAACAATTCACCGTTTTTCGCGTACGACAACACAAAGTACAGTCTTGATTTGTCTTGGAACGTGCAATACAATCGCACGAAAAATGGAGCCGTTTTCCTCGATTTAGAACTCAACAATGATAGGATTTCCTTTTCCCTTTTCGTGTGTTCGACTTTTTTCTCTCTGATTATGTGACTTTTACCGCAGACTTTAACTGAACAACAGAAAAAACAAGGTAAGTTTAAACAGACAGACAAACAGAGAAAATCATCATCATCGATCATTAATAAACACAGACTTACTTGCACACATCATGTTCGTGTGAATATCTTTGGCGAGATAAACCGTCGAAAAGCTACCCTCTCCTATGGCTTTTCCGAATATGTAGTCGTTCGGATCGCGCTTTTCGACGACGTTTTCCTTTGGTTTGCTACCTTCTTCGCTCGACGTCGACAATCGACTCGCGACGGACAAACTGTCGATGCAGTTTCCGCCGTTTCCGCCACCATTCATTTGCTTGTGAACGCAATTTTGAACAACGGATTCGTTTTTTTCCGTAGAGTAAACGGGAGTTTGTCCGTTTGTGAAATTGCTGTTGTTGTTGTTGTTATTATTATTATTATTATTTTGAGCCGTCCTGTGTTTGACGGCCGGCGGTTGTTGCGTAAGCGGTGCCGGCGGTGTTAAAACCGCGGCCGGACTTATTATGGAAGCCACGGTGGAATCTGGGAGAGACAAATTCTTTTCAGAAACAGTCACAGAGTTTACCGCCCTCTAAAAACAAAAACAAAACATTAATTTATTATTATTATTATTATTAATAAAACGGCAACAAATTTTTAAAAAAAAATTCGGTTATTTTCTTTCTCTCTCTCTCTCTTTTTCTCCGACATTTATTAAATATTCAACAGTAAATTTTTTTATTAACTAATTTAAATTGATAATTATTTCGTTATTAAAAAAATTTTTTATAAATCGTCAAATTAAGGAAAATTCATTTTATTTTCAAATACACGCACACGCACACACGCACAAAAAACGCATTCGAAACGGACATTATGTAAGAAAAAAAAAAATTTTCTTATGATCGCCGCGCGCCATGTTTTTCTTTTTTTTTAAATTTTTTTTTTTTTTTTTTTTCAACGTTTTCTTATTGTCATCGTTTTTTTTCTTCAATCAGAACAATTCCTTTTCTCTTCTTTCTCTCATACGAAAACCTTTTAAAAAAAAAAAAGGAAAAGGAAAAGGAAAAAGAAAAAGGAAATAAAAATTTCCGAGTGCGTGAATTCGCGAGTAAATGAGTATACGCAACAACATTCAATAAGTAATTACCATGGCGCCGAGAAAAAAAAAAAAAAATTAATAATAGTAACAACAACGCTTAAACAACCGTTTGCACGTAACGCTACAAAGTTTAAAACTAACCAACAAACAAACACAGGAGAGTGAAACAAAAAAAAAAAAAAAAAAAAAAAATTCACATTCGAATTCTACTCGAATTATCAATAACACGTAATATATATACACACACACACAACATTTGAAGGTTGCGCGAATGCAATTCAACGTAACACTTTTTTTTTTCTCTCTCTCTCTCTCTTTTTCTTTTCTTTCGTTTTTCCCCCTCCCTGCCCCCCACTTTGTCTTCCTTTTCCCCATTATTCCCGTCGTTTTACCGCCGTCCGCCGCAACCGTCGTCACCGCAGACTTTTCACTCCTCCCTTATCCCACGATTCGAATCCTTATAATTCCCTCCTCCTCCCCCCATTCCTCTTATCACGACGGGGGGGAGCCATAGTATTTGCAACGAATTATCGATCGATCGATCAATCGATACATCGAATCGAACAAAGACAACGAAAAAAAAAAGTGGAAAAGCTTTCAACGTTCGCATTTTACTCTCGTTTTCATCATCGTCTTTCCCCCCACCACTTCCTCCTCCCAATTCTCTTTATCGCCCCTCCCCCTCCCTCGTCGGATACGACGACGATTTTATTTTTATTATTGAACGCACACACACACACATTTTTACAGGAACACGCGAAAAAAAAAAAACAAAAAAAATTTTTTTTCTTCATATTTTTCTTTCGTTTCTCTCTCTCTCTCTTTATTTATTTATTTATTCCCAAGTTTAATTAAGATTATATCAAGGACGTTTCTAGAAAAAAAAAAATATATCGGCACGTGGAAAATATTGCATTTTTATTTCGTTTTGTCACGGTCGTTGAAAACTAAAAAAAAAAAAAAAAAAAAAAAAAAAACAACTAAAAACAACTAAATAATCGAAAAAACTTTTCCGGGGGAAAACTTTACCGATTAACGCGACACACCTCACTACTCCTCCCCCAAACTCGCGTTTTTCCGCGTTTAATCACACCTCACTCCCACCTACCACATCTACCTACCTATTTAATGACAAAATGATAACGTAAGAACAATCACTAATAAAATAATAATAATTATTATTATTATGTATATTATTTTCACTACTAAAAAAATAAAACAGACGAAGACGACGACGATCGACGCCACACTAGCAGAAGAAAAAGAAAAAAAAAAAATTTATTTATTTTCTTGTCTCGTTTCCAATAAAAATTTTCTTTCTCTCTCTCTCTTTCTCACATATTTTCGTATTCAAACGTTTTTACGTGGAAAATTTAAAAAAAAAAAAAAAAACTAGTATCGGTGTTTGTTGCAAAGCATCTGTCACGAATGGCAAGAGTGATAACAAAGTACGAAGGTCAGTTACATTATTACGTTATTAAAACCATTCAAAGAATTTTTATCTTGAGATTTATCGATTTGCTGTCGCAAAGAGAGAGAGAGAGAGAAAGAAAATTACTTGGCGGGGGGAAAAACGCTACGAAATAAAAAAAAAAACCGTTTTACGACGACGACAAAAACAAAAACATTCCGAAAAACAAAAATTACATTAATAATAATTAATTAATTTTTTTTTCTTTACGTCATCAAATTATTATTATTATTATAAATGCCGATTGCCAAATGGCTACTACACGACGACGATGACGACGACGATAAACTCGACATTGTTTTCGCCATCGGCCTCGTCCTCGTCGTCACCGTCACCGTCACCGTCACAATCGCCGCCATCATCATCATCATCATCATCATCATCGTAGTTATTACAAGGAGAGTAAAAATCATAAAAACAAACGATACGTTGCCTTAAACCTAAAGCAATTAAATAAAACCACGTGACGTAAAAATCGGTTGTTTGCAAACGACGAACTCAATTCTTCCAATTGATGAGATATCGAGGGGAACATAGGGGGAGGGGGAGAAGGTGGGAGAGTAAGAGAAAGAGAGAGAGAAAAAGGAAAAACTTGAAATTCTTTTTAAAAAAAAAACCGGAAATACTTTTCGTAAGATAAACGTTTCGTATGTTAGAGAGAGAAAAATGGCGACATATCTTTATTCCTCTCGGTTGTTTTGATCTGTGTATGTGTTTGTGTGTGTTTGCGTGATTTGGTTTCCATAGAATTTACAGCTGACTCGCCATTTTATTTGTCACACAAAACAACGCACCTGCTGACTGACTGACTCTCTCTCATGTTTTTTTTTTTTTTTTTTTTTTTTTTTTTAAATTTGCTTCGGGGATTGAGGCACGTGTCCGACTCTTACTGACGACTTTCTTTATCCACGACCCCCCTTCCACCCCCACTCCCCACCTCCCCATCCGTGTCAAACCCTTGACTCAAGTTTCATCCGTTCGACTTTCTTTTCCTCCTTCCTTATCAAATACATGTGACGAAAAATAACAACAATAATAATAAAACCTCTCTGATTTCTATTTCCTCTCTCTCTCTCTCTCTCTCTCTCCTTCTCTCTTTCTAATCTCCAGCCAGAGAGTGAGAGAGAGAGAGAGAGATGAAAGATTTTACGACGATTCATTCATTCATTCATTCATTCATTCGTTCAATGATTATTGTTAACTATTGTATACGGGAAAACGAAATTAAATTCGTAACAAAAAAAAAAAAAAAAAAAAAATGTAGCAAATGTGACTGCGACGGTGACGATGACGACGACGGTGATGATAATGATAATAATAATAATAATAATAATACTATTTTTAAAAATTTTCATAGATATATAACCGTTTGAATCGCTCCAATTCCTAACAAAACAATGATGAACTCTACCCATAATACAACATATGCCCTACATTTAAAAACCCAATTATTAACATTTATAAGGTGTTAACTCAACCGATAGAGTGAATCTTCCACGGATAACTAACGGCATTTACAAACAACAACAACAAAACAAACGCAAAACAATTGTGTTTGTTTGTTTTTTTGTTTGTTCACTTTTACACACAAGGAAAAGCAGCACATAAAAAAAAAAAAACAAAACACATTCGTTAAACACTAACAACAACGACAAAAATGGCGCAATAAATTTTTATTTTCCCATATAGTAAACCACAACCGACAGCACCACCACCACCACAACTCACACAATTTTCCGGGAAAAAAAAAAATCAATTTAAGTAAAACAACAGAAATGCATTATAACTTGATACTCCTCCTACTCCTACTCCTCCTCCTCCTCCTCCGCAAAAAAAAATCTCTTGGTAAATGCCACGTTCGACGAACGAACGAACGAACGTACGTAAGTACATACGTACTTAAAAAAAAAAAAAAAAAAACATTTCGTGGAAGTTTGTGTTAACGTCAAAGGGCGGGAAATTTATTTCAAAAAATTTACAATAGATGTCACTAGTGTAAACATTTTCAATTCAAATCGACTCATTCTCTCCCTCTCTCTCTCTCGCGCGAGTATCTATCTATAGGATTATAATCCAAACGAACGATATTATTATTATTTTTCTCTTTTAAAACATAAGATAATAAGAAAAACGTATTGAATTAATTATTTAAACTTCACCTTGATGTAAATAATAATAATAATAATAATAATAATATTTAAAGAAAAAACAAAAAACTTATTTAATTCAATTAAAATTCATAGATTCCGTTGTACGAATTACGTAGACGCAATTGAAAAGAAAAACAAAACAAACAAAAACACTTTTTTTTTCTTCTTCTTCTTCTTCTTCTACTTTAAAATAAATTGCTTAACTCGTAAAAAAAATTGTTACATATACGCATTACGGAAAGAAGGAACAAACGAACAAACAAACAAACAAACTCCAAGTCAAATTAAAAAACAAAAATCATCAACGGTTGAGCATTTAAGCGTTAGTGAAGTCTAATCGCATATTTTAAGGCGTTTTTCTCTCTCTCTCTCTTTACCCACTTAAAATTCTTTACAACGCATTCCAATTATGTCTCTCATCTAAACATTCTCAAAGAATGGTACGTAAAAAGAAAGAAAGGAAAAAAACAAATACCACAGAAAAAGTCGTCATTAATAATAATAATAATAATAATAATAATAATAATAAAACAGGTTCATTTCCCAAAAGATGAAGGGAGGAAGAAGGAAAAAAGAAAAGCTTTGAAAAAAAAAAACAACACAAACCT